GGGGGACGTAGTGCTTGTTCAGCTGTACTTGTTATTTGTTATTATTAATTCAAATTCCATGAAACTGGATTGCACCAGACATAATTAAAGTATACTGCTATTGGATACACGAGTGGCATGGTTAATATGCATAATAATATACGCACTTTCTCTCTCTCTCTCTCTCTCTCTCTCTCTCTTTCTCTCTCTCTCACTCTCTCTCTCTATCACTCTCTCTTTCTCTCTCTTCCTCCATGTCTCTCTCTCTTTCGATATGTCTGTGTCTCTCTCTCACCCATACCCTCCCCCCATATACATCAACCGCCCCCCCTTTCCGAGCATTACAAATGTCATTCGTTTTACAATGATTTAATGAACGCACCTGGAAACCCTTTAAAGCTGGTTGCTTAAAACAATCTCTACTCTATTTTGGACGACGGTATATTTGAGGTTTCTAATTGGAATTTGCTTGACCTATTAAGGATTGTGGGGACTCCACAATCTGCACGGTCAGCACACCTTCTTGAGTGAAATAAGGATTTTAACTTATTTTAAGAAAGAGACCTCACAGCTGGCTTAATAATAATAATAATAATAATAATAATAATAATAATAATAATAATAATATTACCCTTTGTTTTTGAAGGTCAGTAAAAACAACGAAGTAGGTTATTCCTACAAAATTATCTAGCATCGTACTATGTGTTTCTCTTTACCTTTTTGTTATTTAAATACTGTTTTCGCCCTTCAAAATGAATTTGCGAAAACACTGCTAGAAACTATTAAATTTTTAGAACAAAATATTAACGGCGAAGGTTTAATTACAATTTAAAAATTTACACACTTTGTAATGATTCGGGGACTACCCACTTTCTCAATTTTATGAAACCCAAAATGCCGAAGTCTGTGTTAAATACATAGAGTGCGGAGTGAGCAAGTTTTAATATAGTTACAAGAAGCCAGATATCAATAAAAAGGAAAAGTGAATTTGTGCTCGAAAAGAATAAAGAGTTTTTTAAAAAAATATTCAACTTCTGGGGGTTAATGAAACCAGAAAAGGAAAGGTTGCAAATGCATAGTGTCCATAAATAGTTAAATAACTCCTTTCCTTTCCTTTCCTTCATCCACCCTTGGGTACCGGCTGGTGTCACGGGAAGACATACTTGTCTCTTTTGAGGGCTTTTGCATAAAATGAAGACACTAAATCAAATGTAATGTTTCACGGGATCGACTCTGTAAAGGAGACCCTCCAGAACCCATACCTTGACACTAATGACATGCCTCCTCTAGCCACTCGACTTGCAGTTGACACAATTCATTCTTTCTCCCTCGACATCCACCGATACCAGCGGAAGGGAAAAAAGTGAAAAGTAAAATTAAGGTAGAAGTATCGTCCTTGTTCTGTCTTTTTTAAAGCTCTCCTTTTCCTTTTAACCAAGTAACTCGTTTATGCAAGGAAAGAAAAAATAAACACACAATCGGGACACTAATGCATCAGGCGCTACCGCTAACTTAATTTGAAAGACATTAGACAAAACAACAGGTGTTTTTGCTCGCGGGCGTGTGGGCGTGATTGTGTGTTTGTGTGCGCGCGTGTGTGTGTAAGTGTGTATGTGCGTGTGTATGTGTGTGTGTGTGTGTGGCGTGTGTATGTGTGTGTGTGTGTGTGTGTGAGTGTGTGTGTGTGTGTGTGTGTTTGTGTGTGTAGTGTGCATGTGCGTGTGTATGTGTGTTTGTGTGTATAGTGTGTATGTGCGTGCTTGTACTGGAGAAAAGTTTGGCAGGGGGATAGGGTTAGCGACCCTTTGTGTTAAGGGTTTGCACCATTCTGAATTTTCTTTTTCGAACGAAAATTGTTTTTATACAACCAAGTATCCAAGAATCGATGACCTTGCGCTGCTGAACAAAATATTTCCGGTTTGCGGTCTGGCTTTTACCAGGTGAAAGTTAAGGTATGCTGCACATGCCAACGCTCTAAATCAACGGAAAGTAAAGCGAGATCACATTGTTGTAAGTAACCTGAAATCCTATTGCTGCAACAGGAAATGAACTCCAAAAAACCCCCACCCAAACAAACAAACAAACCAAAAAGCTAAAACAAAATCCCCAAACAATGAAAACGAAAACAAAAACAAAATCTTCCCAAAAAATGAAAATGAAAACAAAAACAGAGACAGAGACAAATGTCTGCCGCAGGCCATTACCCATCTGCATAGATCATGCAAAAAGTGTAAACAATGACTGTATATTCTGTGGGAACGACAAGCAGATGGTTCCTGTTGCGCAGTTTTGTTGGTCTGTGGAATCAGCACAACGGAATAGAGGGACCCATGGTTTGGGGTTGAGTTGGGGGTTGGTGGGGGGAGGCATTGAAATTTTGGCAAAATACGATGATCAGAAAATGCAATAGCGAAATACTGGAGGCGAAAATAATATAATTTGAAGGAATAAGATTGGCTATAGAATGTGAAACAGTACTGTAAATCGCATCGCTCCTTTGTTTTAAAGTATATATTTATATTTAACTAATTCGCTCCCTTTCTTTCCATCAGACACCTCGATATTTTACTGTGCATTACAAAATCTGATTGATGAAGGGCATACAATTTAGATTATAATATGTGGCTTGTGTGACTTACTTGTAACTTTAATCTTGTCGTAAATCATAACGCGAAGAATGTTTAGACGTGGTCACCGAGGATATAGTCAGTTAATCAGTCTTAAAAATTTGGGTGTTTTAAAGTAGGAATTAGGGTAATGTCTATTTAGTGACAACACACATCTAAAAACTGGTTGAAATTGAATGACCTATTATGTTATGAGATGAACGTAAAAGGTACTACGACTCAAGATTTTTACTTGTAGTATATCCCCTGTAACAGATGTGGACGCTTAACTTTAAACGACGTCAGCACAGTTCCTGGAATATTATAAAATAATTGTATCAAGTGTTTTGTTCATGTACACATGAAAGCTACACTTCAAGGGCCTCTGCTTGTTCCCACCAAAGTTCTTACATTCGTCTTGTTTGCTGGTTGTTGTTGAACTTTAGAAATAGTCAAACATACATTGTGGTTGCCGCCGAAACCATAGTCTTTTAATTTTAAAAACTACAACAGAAACATTTAATGGTGAGAGCCAGACAGTAATTAGAAGCATTGTCTCAACAGGTTTCTTGTTTTTTTTTGCTTGTTTGTTTGTTTGTTTGTTTGTTGTGCTTTTAACTGTTTACCATAAAAATCTAAAGGACTTTTCGCTGTTCCAATTGTAAGCACTGGAGACCTGCTTGATTCCAGGAGGCACAGATGTTTTATCGAATGTGTATCTTTGTCTAGGATGTATCCTGTACCGTCCACGTTAGCTGTAGGGCGCAAGCTCGGAGCAACCCGTAAAGGAAATTGTGTAATTGTACAAACATTCACAGCAAAAATGAAATAAACAATAATAAAATTCTTGCAACAATCAAGAATCTGGGCGTTCTATCCTGAAAAAGAGAGATAATTCCTATAATTTGGGACAAAATCAATTAATGCGAAAAGGTCCCCTTAAGTCTGCTTTTCGGAAGTCTTTGCATTTAAATTTCCAACAACAAAAAATACCATTACGCAAGCGTCATGTACCAAATTGACTATACCGTAATTTTATCTTTGTCGTTCATTAACCTTTTTTGCGTTAAACATTGGGATTTTGCGCCCCCACCGCTGTATCCTTTATTGCTATATTACTTGGTATCGATGTTTTAACTTGATTAAAAAGGAGACGTTTTCTTTTTTCATATTCTCATGCTGAAAAACATGACCTTAAAATGGAAGACATTTCCGAAATACAATTTTCTCAAAAACGAGGTACGCCATAATCACAGATTAACTTCAGATTTTCTGTTTTTCTGCCTATGCACGTTGATTAAAACAGACCTGCGCGCTTGCTTTTCAAAACCATAAAAACAACCATGAACGTAGACTTTATATCAAGTCTTATCGTAGACTTCATGGTTTAATTGATCAAATCCTACTCTGAACTCAATCACGCACTCAGATTAACTTAAACTCACAATTTAGAACATTGTTTTACTCTCTCGGGAAAACCCACACATAAAGCAACAGCACCTGTTTCCTGCTCTTCTTCTCCCGTTAAGTTGGAGAGCTGTTTCATGAAAAAGTATGCTTTTTGTGCAGAGGCAGATTTTATCAAAGTAATTACTCTTAGAACACAATACAATAGTTAGGCGCCGTGGTGTTTAAGGCGTATGTATTCAACCAACTCACGAAGTGTAGAATTTTTATTTGAAAAGTTTCCAGTTTGACAATATTATAATTATTTTGGGCACTCAACATTTAATTTGTTTGTCCTGGCAAGTCATTCCAAACTTTTTTAAAGAAATGAAACAAAATGTTCCAAAATTTCTTTTGACTTTAAAGTACTGACGTAATGATTTCACTACAACAGGTCATGTGTTATTTCTGTTATGTGAAATATTCCTGGCTTTATATGGTTACCCAGCAGTTTACAGGTTCGACTCTGGACATACACATCATTTTCCACGATACCCCACGAGGAAGACACCTTGAATTTCCTGCAATCGTCCCTGACGATCCTTAATTATGTGGAAAATCTGGGTGCTTTAACGTTAGACAGGCTTAAATTCAAATCTCGGAAAAAATATGTGCCAACAAAGATAACTAAATCGCACTCACTTCCTCTGTTAATAGAGGCCCTGGGATTTAAAGGCAAGTTTGCACCTCATAGCCGGTACTTGCTGACACGGCGAACTCGTATAAAATGTTGAAAACGTACTGAGATTGTGCATGTACTGCCACCTGGTGCAGCTAGTTTGTCGTCGTAAAAAGATTTCATTACCCCCCTCCGCCCCACCGCTGTGCCTCCCGTGACTTTCCAGAATCATTACCGAAGACTTTACACTGTCTGAAGCACTGGGTGGTGTCTTTTGACTTTGAGTTTGAATGAATAAAAGTAAAAGAAACTCACAAGTATTTTAATTATCATTTAGTTTTGAGGTAAAGGAAACCACATCGGGATTCGCCTGTAGGGTATGGAAAAACAAAAACAGCACCGGCGACGCCCTCCAAACCACCTGCAGGAGAAAAGTTACTTTTATTGCAATGATGACTTTGGGCCCGCTTTCAAGAAGACACGCGAGCTATCTCTCGTGGCTTTGCGTTTCTGTATAAAAAAAAAAGAAGAAATATAAGATAAGATAAGATAAGATAAGATGATACTTTATTGTTCATGAGGGAAATTTTCCTTGGCTGTACGGGACCGTAACAACACAGGTTTACGTAGAAAAAATAAAACTATATAAATAATAATATAATATATTTGTGTTACGAGGTGTTGGAATCAGGCGCTCGTCAATTTTTGGCGTATGGGGTTATTGGTATCATCTTAGAGCCTGTTCATTTGCCCTTCTTTTGATGAAAAAACTATCCATCTATGTTAAATAGAAGTCGAAATATTTGCGATTGAAGGAGATCAGGGTCGCCAGGTTTTAGAAGTAAAATGAGAGAGAAAATGTCTGTCAAATTAGGTAACTTCTATAGCCTGAAAGTCCTTGGAAACTGAAAATTTACAATTTTTGGGTGCATTTAATCAGTAAAATTCACACAAAAAAGTGTTTTTAAATGGACATAAAGGTGTTGAGCCACAAAAAGAAAATTGAAAAAAAATTGCCCAGCGGCAGAAAATATGCCGATTTTTTAAATCTCATTTTGACGAGCGCCTGATTTCACCGCGATGCTATTATATACAGCAAGTATAAGTGGAATCTGGTGTAGCTGTAGTCATGTTCTTCACTTTGCAGATGAAAAACGTTGGACTGATTCCTACAATTATATCTAGGAGTTGTGTTGAGTATTTCTGTCTCCCAGTAAGAATGTATCCCAAACAATCCTGACTGCCGTCTCATATGTTAACATTATGTAAATTATATTGTGTCTGCAGGAGTTTAAATTGTTAATGACTACAAAATAAACTCACTCTTTCAGTTTGAAAAAAAAGCCTCTTCTTTTACTAAGTATATTATGTTAATACTCAAACTAGTGTGTTAAAAAAATCGCCAGTAATAATTTACATTGCGGACATGGAAAATACATCGTATGTAAGAATTTATTAATACCGGTACTGGATAGGCATTATAGAAATGTTAATGCTTTTAATTAATTTTTTTCTTGTATCTACCAAACGTTCTCTAAAACACATTGTTCACTTTTTGTAACTTTGTACCGAGAGGTGACGTTCAAAGACCCCCTCCCCCCATCCCCAAACACATACACACATAAACACACACACACACACACACACACACACACACACACACACAAACACACACACACACACACAACCACACACTTCAAAAATCGAACAGCCTTCTAAAAAAAGCGAGGTCGTGTCGATAGCTCAATTAATATCATGTCGGACCATAGGAAAGGGGGTCCTGGTTTGAATCCGTCCCTGGGAGTTCTGGAACACTGTTCGTTTTGGGTGTTTTTAAGGCTCTCCACCCTACTGACTCAGTTCTATGGGAGGTGAACGCTAAATTTGGAAGTTTCCTTGTCTTCAATAACTGTACTGTGGCCATACCCATGCCCTGCCAAATCAACAGTAAAGTTGACTGGTATGAGATGCATGCATGGATTTGGGAATAACATTTTATCAGTGTATGTTTACATCAAACCATCCACTGTTTAATCCTTTCTTTAAATTGTGGAAAACAGACTGAGAAAACTTGGTGTATGAACAACATTTCAGAACATATTCCAATCAATAGGGTGTACATTCCCGAAAAGATAATCCTCTTTGGAGCGTGACAGTGACAAAGAGAGGTCACTTTTCATTGATCTACAATGAATTTGCTTCGGGTTTGAAACCAGTTGCACAAACAAATTCCATTGGATAGGGAAAAGTTTTTTGTATGTCTTGACAGCTTCACTGTATCAATCAATATTGCTTTTATTAAAGCTTCTACAAATATGTCTGGACAATTTTCTTTCGTATCGTGAGCAAAATTATATTGCAAGCATTAGACTTGAGTGTTTTTCTTAATTTTCTGGGCTTAAAAAACGTTTTGAATTATTTCTTGGTGACACTTTTCGTGTGAAGGATGGGGGTGATTGGTGCTGATATTGTTATTGATAAATAAATATATTATTTTTATTATGCTACTGTTTTGACACTAATACTACATGTATTATTACGACTTCTACTACTACTACTACTACTACTACTACTACTACTACTACTACTACTACTACTATTACTACTACTACTACCACTACCACTACCACTACCACTACCACTACCACTACCACTACCACTACCACCACTACTACTACCACTACTACTACCACTACCACCACTACTACTACCACTACTACCACTACTACCACTACTACCACTACTACTACCACTACTGCTACTGCTACTGCTACTGCTACTGCTACTACTACTACTACTACTACTACTACTACTACTACTACTACTACTACTACTGCTGCTGCTGCTACTACTACTACTACTACTACTACTGCTACTACTATTACTAGTGCCGATGCTGCTGATGCTGCTGATGCTGCTGATGCTGCTGATGCTGCTGATGCTGCTGATGTTGCTGATGCTGCTGCTGTTGCTGCTCCTGCTGCTACTACTGCTGCTACTACTACTACAACTACTACTACTGCTACTTCTACTGCTACTTCTACTGCTACTTCTACTACTACTGCTGCTGCTACTGTACTGTGGGACTGTTAGTGCTTTTGCTACTTTTCAAATGGTCGTTTAAGAAATTCTGTTATGTCATTTTATTTTCTCCAACCAGTACCAAACCTCATCACCTACCCATCGACCGATCATACCTCCGGAGAAAAGTGATCCGTAGCAACTGTGAGTTTTCCAGACAACATCAGTCTCCGGAGTCGCTCATATTGGCGTATCGGTAACGGACACAGCCTAATCAGGTTTGTTCCAGCACACCAAGCGGTAGTGACGTAATCATGACGTTCCGGATCAGGGACCATCTGGCCTTGAGCAATGTCTGTCTACGTCACCCAGAACCGGCAGACTTGACATCCTGTAAGGTGAGAATATTCTATTATTATAGTTAGTTGTCTTTTTCGCTCTTTTTCATAGAGTTCCCTGCAACTTTTTTTAAAGCTTAGTATAGCTATTAAAGCTCCACCTCTTGGTTTTTAGTCTTTACAATAATGCTTTTAGTTCTTTTTATCACTATTGTTCAGAGTTTCAGCCACAGTCAATGTGCCAGGTTTTTAATGACTTTCTCAGGATAAGAAACCACTGCAACCTTTTCAAAAATATGTTTAAAGAATAACACAAGGGAAATAAAAGAAGAGTACATTCTGCATAGATGAAATTCTATTACCATCTGTTTTCAATGCAAGTATTTTAATTACTACTTCGCTTTGACTTCACAGACTCGGCCTTGTCATAATCAATATATAATTTTCGTTGCTTCTTGTTATGTCGACGTTTCGTTGTTGTTTTTATCCATTCTCAATATTATGACGGTGTCAAGGAGAGGGTAGGTGAGTGAAGGGATGGAGCAGAATGTTAATCTTTGCGTTGCCCAGATTCTTCCTTAATCAATTATGTCGCCAGAAGGTTTCCCGGCGAGGTTAGCTTGCGAGAACTCATAACAGGCGGATATTACTTCTAATGGGAAAAAGAAACCGCAACAGAAATAAGTAACTGTCACATATCCGTTCTTAGAGGTCGGAAAAATTATTTGTTAAAGCCTATGAAAACAGCCAGTCTACGGACTGTTAGGTGGGCAGGCTGATACATGTATTATGTCAAAGAGTGAAGATTTCTTATCGTTTTCCCTCCAAAAATATGGGGTGTGAACAATACTTTCCCAGACCTTTCACCACACTTGTGGAGTCGAAATGTACTGCAAGTTCGGACCCCAAAAAACAAACAAGGTGCTACACAACGTTAAATGGGATGTAATGACACACACACGACAACTCTTGACTGGAAATCATATTTTTAGAAGAAATATTAGCTCCAACTAAGTCAAAAGGAACAGACAACACAGCAATAACTGTCAGTATAAATATTGACTAATGAGGTTGTTTATACTTACAGCGAGTTTGCAGATCGTTTACGGTTGTCTTTACGCGTGCAGTGATATAAATAGAGGGATAAAACGAGAGTTTAAGTGTAGGGTTACAGCCCTGTTGATTTGGGAGCTGAAGGTTTGACGAATTGCGGTGCTACTGATCAAGATGGAAATGACCCGATTTCTGATTCTGAACCGTTCATAATATTAAAATTTCATCGGAACTTACAATACATGTTGGTTCTGGCTCTAAATAAAAACAACCTTGATTTTAAAAACGCTTTTAAACTATTGTTTCATGTTTACATAAAATACATTTTTTTCCTTTGTAATACCATTCTTTTGTTATCTGAAGTGGGTTCGAGGAAGTGGTATCAATCAAGGATAACTCGTCATTCGTCATGTGGTATATTTAAAGTAGGGTGTAGGCATGGTAAGGGCTTTATTTTTTCCTTCTCTTCTCCTTTTTCCTTCTCGTTCTCAATCTCTCTCCATCTCTCTCTCCTCTTTTTGTCTAGCTCTTTCTTTTTCCCTCTCTCTTTCTTCTCTCTCTATTCCTCTCTCTCTCTCTTTCTTTCTTTCTCTGTCTCTCTCTCTTTCACTCTCTTTCCCTCTCTTCTACAATAGATAGATAGATACATAGAGAGAGAGATAGATAGATAGATAGATGGATAGATAGATGGATGGATAGATAGATAGATAGATAGAGAGATAGATAGTGGGATAACATAGATGGGAATGAGGGAGAGACAAAGAGAGAGAAGGTGTGTCTGAGAGAGAGAGAGAGAGAGAGAGAGAGAGAGAGAGAAAGAGAAATAAAGAGAGAGAGAGAGAGAGAGAGAGAGAGAGAGAGAGAGAGAGAGAGAAAGAGAGAGAGAGAGAGGTGGGGGGCAAGAGAGAGCATACTGAGAGTTGAAAGATGAATAGAAACATTAGAGGATGCACTGAGTAATGGCCACTGGTGTTGACAAGTGATTTGTCTACATGAGCTTGTTTCGTCTACAGGAAACGTGGACAGGTGGATATGCCATGCAACTTATTGGAGAGAGAGAGAGAGAGAGAGAGAGAGAGAGAGAGAGAGAGAGAGAGAGAGAGAGAGGGGGGGAGAGAGAGGGGGAGAGATTGATAGATAGATAGATAGATAGATAGACACAGAGGGAGAGAGAGAGAGAGAGAGAGAGAGAGAGAGAGAGAGAGAGAGAGAGTGATAGAGAGATGATTTTTATTGATTTCAAAGGTCTTTGGCTTATACATCCATAACATAGAGTTAAAGAAAGAAAAGGAGAGAGAGAGAGAGAGCGCGAAAGAAAAAGAGAGAGATATAGAGAGAAAGAGAGAAAGAGGGAGAGAGAGAGAGAGAGAGAGAGAGAGAGAGAGAGAGAGAGAGAGAGAAAGAGAGAGAGAGTGACAGAGAGACAGAGAGACAGAGAGACAGAGGGGGGAGGGTAGGAGGGTAGGGGATATGGTGAAGGATGGATGGAGACTGCCGACTGACAGATAACAGCGGGGTTAAAAAAATTGTTTGACAGTTTCATTTTGAATGGGAAAAGACAGTGTTATTTAAACACAATGAATAAGAATAGACGGGAAAAGAGATTTTAACAGGATTACACATGCTAACACATGTTCACGCAGACACTGATCTAAATGCTGTCACTACATCAATTATATAGACATGTAGGGAAACAAGATAATAAAAGTTAGTGCATTTACATCTGTACTTGTTCACACAAATAGGGTCTCCCTCTTTCTCTCTCTCTCTCTCTCTCTCTCTCTCTCTCTCTCTCTCTCTCTCTCTCTCTCTCTCACTCCTTTTCTCCCCCCCCCTCTCTCTCTCTCTCTCTCTCTCTCTCTCTCTCTTTCTTTCTCTTTATGCGGCGTCGGGAGCCTAGGCGAGTGGTAACTTATGCTACCATACCAGAGTCGTAATCATGAGACCGCGGGATCCGGGTCTCGAGCGTCAGCTCGGTCCGACAATGTGTCCTTGGGAAAGGCACTTTACACAAATTCCCATTTGGCCCTGTCCATAGCGTACTTTACTAGAAAGAACGCCATGGCCCTGTCCTTTCGGAGATGGACGTTAAACCAGAGTTCTCGCCTCTTAAGTAACCTAATAGTGTTGACAGGGGTGTTAGACTTATACTATTTCACCATCGCCCCCCTCTCTTTACCTCTCTTTTTTCCTTTTCTCTCTCACTCTCTCTCTCTCTTTCACTCTCCCCCCCCCCTCTCTCTCTGTCTATCTATCTATACATCTATTTCTCACTCTCTCTCTTTGTATCACTCTTTCTCGTTCACTGGTGGGTGGTACCTCAATATCCCCACTCCCTTGGCCTATAGCAATACAAGCTGTCATGTAACCTGAACTCTGCTCACCCCCTCACCCAGCCCCACCCTCCCCATCCCACTTCTCCGTTCACTTTTCGCGGCTATCTGAAAAAGACGATGTGGATACCTGGCCTTTATCTCACACCGCCTCAACTCTGTTGGGTGGAATTAAGCTGTCAGGGAAGCTTCACCCTATCTTTCCCCTTTTTGACACGTTCCTAGCTCAATTACAGGAGAAAGAGACTTACCACAACCCCCCTCCCAGCCATTGATACCATCGTTTCACATGGCAGGAGTCCGTTCTGGTTCTGTTTTGCTGATTTGCGCCAACTCTCGCTTTTCCCTTTTTCAATAATCGTAACACTATAGCAACATAATATAGAGGTATCTCATTGTTAAGCCACTCAGAAAAAATGTATGCAAAGATACTAGAGCAGCGCATAAGACCTATTGGAGTGAGAAATCTGAGCAAAGCTCAGTTTGGATTCCGAAAGGGAAGAGGATGCACGGATACCGTATTCGCATTACGACATATATATGCGAGAAAACAATCGAACTCACAAAGAATCCAACATCGTCTTTATAGACTAGGAGAAGACTTTTTTCAGAGTAAACCATGCAAAACTCTGGAAGACACTCGAAAAGTATAGCGTCAGAGGACAAATGTTAGATAATATCAGAGCTCTATTTATACCAACAGCAAAAGCTCAGTAAGAACGAACGAAGGCAATACAGACTGATTCAAAGTAAGATCTGGAGTACGACAGTGATGCGTTCTATCCCCCCTCCTGTTTATAATATATATGGACACAATAACGTAAGAAGCAAACCAAAGCCCAGAAAGCCTACATGAATTTCTGTTTCGCAGAGGACCAATGTCTTATTCAGAATGACCAAGAAAGCCTCCAAAATCAAACAACCGAACTCAACAACACCTGTGAGAAATTCAACATGAAAATAAGCACATCAAAAACAGAAGTTATGAAAGTGAGCCGAAACCATAGTCCACTGAACATCCATGTCAATAGTAAACAACTGAAACTGGTGAAGGAGTTTAAATATCTTGGAAGCACTTTATCTGAAAACGGGTCCATAGACAGAGAAATAGAAATGCGAACTCAAAAAGCCAACGCTGTCACCTACCAGCTCGCACCACTCCTACCTCATCCAAACATCTCCATGGACACAAAGAGACAGCCTATAACCTCGATATTCATACCAATATTATGTTATCAGTGCCAGACCTGGACCTTAAGCAAAACCCATGAAAGCAAAATCACCGCATGCGAAATGAAAAGTCTCCGCAAAACCCTCAACATCTCAAGACGAGACAGGCAGAGAAATGAAGAAGTAGGAGCAGCTATCGGCACTGAGCCCTGCCTGCATTACATAGAAAGACTGAGGATAAAATGGTTTGGCCACCTGTTACGCATGTCACCTGGCCAGCCAGCCTCGAGAGCCTACAACACCAAGCACTCAGGCTATAAAGGAAGAGGAAGGCCACGCAAAAGGCGAATCGAGGGTGTCAAGGAAACTCTAAGAAAACATAACATCACAACTGAAAGAGCTGCGGAGCTGGCCTACCATAGGAAACTGCATCTGCCTCCCCTCGACGCTTAACGGCAACAGAGGATGAAAAAGTAAAGTAAGTAAAGATAATCATTTAATAAT